TTTTGATAATTTAATAGTAAAATAATAATATGATTATAGTTTTTTGTATAGTTTGTTTTTTCCTTTTCCTCGATTTGATTCAAAAAACAAGGTTTACAAGAGTCTCTCTGATTTTTTCAAGATGCCGATGTTTGTTATTGAAATTTGTAAATTATTTTTTGTGTAAAATAAAGGCTGGATTCGCCGAATGATAAAAGGAGGAGCAAGAAAGATTGACTTCGAAACTGTTCTTTGAAGCCAAAATAACCAAAAAAACAACTCAGAATTTATCAAATAAAATGAACTTTTTATTAAATATTTTTTCATTTTTTTGCAGAAATAAAAAACTCAAAAACACTAACCCGCGAGTGTACCTTTTTTTCACACCCCCTTTCACTCCTTTATTTTTTTTTCATTTTTTTAATCGTCCATTAAACAAATATTCAACAGTCAAATCGATTACATCTCGAGCAACAACGTAAATAAACGGGCCAGCACATGTTTTTGATAAACCACTTTTCAATGTCTCTCAGCAAAGACAGACTGCAAATTGACGATTAGAAAAAGAAAAACAACATTTTTTAACTATTTATAAATTGTCTAATTTGTTTTTGTGTTTTTTTACAACTTTTTTCTGGTTTTGAAAAATGTGGAACAATCCGATTGAAACAAACCAAATAAAGTGTTTTGGGGTTTTTAAATCTATCTCATATTATAAATTAATTTTTATATAATAATTACTTTATATAAGACTTTGTAAATTAGCAATAAACTATTTATGTTTATTTAGTTTTAAAAGACTTAATTTTAAATAAATAAAATTATTTATAATAATTTCTTTTTATTGTGTTCAAAATAATTAAAATATAATAAAGTAATAACTTTAATTAACTTTATTAATACTATTTCCAAAAAAAATAAACTATAATAAATTATATGTTGTTATATAATTATTGTAAACAATAATTGCCTGTTCATTTTTTAATGTAATAATTTCTTGGACGAGATTCAAGTAAATAATCAATCCATTTTAAACACAAAGATTGGAGATTATTTCAAAAAAACTATAACGAATAGTTTATTTATCATAATGTACCAT